ACCGCAAAAAAAAAAAAAAAAAAAAGGCGTCTGAAGGCCACATGCTCCACGTCAGCCACACGGGGCAGGGACACCACCTCGGGTCAGGCGTTCCTCAGAAGGAACCTTCCCCAGCATCACCGAGGCACAGCTGCCAGCGTGCACCCCCACACACCCCCAAGGCGAGGGTAAGGGCTCTGTGTCGGCAAAGGCGCATCTCCTGGCCGTGGCCTTTTTCCCAGGTAGGACAGATGCCTTCTGGCAATTTCACTTCCTTTCCTTATGATCAGAACAGGAGAGGATCTAACCAACAGTCGCCTGTACTTGCTGAGTATCAGCAAGCAGCAGAGGGGTGCTCGAGGACAAAGAGAATCCTGATGTCACACTAGTCCCGGGGTCCCCAGCCAGGGCCCTGTGCCCCACGGTGACGCTGGGTAACGTCCGGAGAGGTTTCTGGCGGTCACACTGGGCATGCATGTCGGGGTGCTCCTTTGGCATCTGTGGGTCGTGGCCACAGCGGAGGCTGCTAAAGACCCCACGATATTCAGGGCAGCCCCACCACGAGGAATTATTGGACCCGAATGCCAGTATCACTGAGGCTGAGAAAGGCTGCAGCCCACCCTGCTGGGGGCTATTAGGTCATTCAGGACAGTGGCTTCCAAACAGCTTTCTCCTTCCACTCGTGATAAGACACACATTGTACCTGAGATCCAGGACACACACAGGCAAGAGCCCACTCACAAAGCAGGAACAAGTGATTCTCCCCAAAATAGACACGACCACGTGCTACCCCGTGTACTTTGGTACTTTCCATTTGATGCTATTTCATTCAAACACAAAACACGCTGACCCAACATACCATATGACATTAACAGCCCACAATTTATGGGTCCAATTAATCACAAGGATGGGGAAACAGCAATCCAGAGAACTCTCAGTACCCACCTTTTGGCCAGGCGGACCTGGGTTGCCAGGTAAGCCATTAAAACCTTGGCGACCGGGATTTCCAGGAGGTCCAGTGTCTCCAGGTAAACCATCAACACCTGTTTGGAAGAGTCAAAATAAATCATTCATGTAAAAATACCGTTCCCTACTTTCTCCACTTCTTTTACACCTGCTCAGATGAACCTGAACAGATTTGAGGGCGCCAACAAGGAAGATGAGACCATCCTGGTCCAGGGGGAGCCTGGGGGCAGTGGGCGCTCGCAGCGCCGGCCACCCCTTCCTCTTTCTCCCTCACACCCGCCCCCCTCCCTTCCTTTTCTATGCACTTAGAACTTTTCTCTCCTATCCGCTCCCCGCAAACGAACCAAACCAAACCAAACCAAACCAGCATTTGCAGACTGGGAATGGCAATTTAGACTCTGGCAACTCCAAGTGTGGTCCGGAGCATCCCTGTCGCCTGGTTAGAAATCCAGCCCGGATATCCCCACGCAGACCCACATATTAACAAGACCCTTCGTGATTCCTGGACACGTTTGAGTTTGAGAAACACCACTTTAGACCACCTGTTCTCCAACTGCACCACACTGGAGGCACGTGGGGACATTTAGAGACTGGGGCCCGCCTCTGATGGGCTTTCTGACAGCTGCCCATGTGGCTATAAACAGCAGCAAAGTGTGAGAGCCGTTGGGCTAGGCTCTCTCTGTGTGATGGAAGGTTGGGGACACGCAGCGATCTGCAAGCTTGCAGAAACACAGACCTGAATCGCCCGTGGTGTAGGGCTGCTGTTTCGAGGGGCCTGACAGTGCACATAACTCCAGGCAGCTTCATGCGATGTGGGCAAAGGGTCTCTGATTAAGGAGGCTTTCCTCAGCTAAATTCTACCTGCCGTGATGGCAGTGGTCTGGTTCTCCCATGGAACACACAGGAGGCCTGAGCACTGCCCCTGTGATACTGGAGGGTCACTGGGGGGCCTTCTGCCCCAGGAGCCTGGCAGAAGTGGCCATGAGCGCGGCGGGCATCACACGGCTCCCGGAGAAACAGGCTGCTGTCTCCCGTCCCCGAGCGCAAAGGCCTGCAACCTTGAGAGTGGGCGCGATGCAGAGCCCTAGACAAGAAGCCCGGAGGCTGGACAAGTCTTTAAACTAAGTTTTGGTGAAACGGCGGTCAAACTGGGGTCGGGATGCCGGCGCAAAGGGAAAAGACGTGCCCTTCACTGCTCACAGCCCTTCTGGGCTCTGGACCAAAGTCCCTAAATGGCCAGTCTGCACATCAGTCTCCCTGAAGGACTAAGAAAGCAGCAAAAAGGGTGAAACTGTCCTCCTTACTTCCTTACAATTTTCAGAAAAAAAGTACTGGTTCTGGAACGTCCATGCGTGTGAGGGCCTCTCCCCCAAGAGCAAGGCCCCCCCTCATATCCACCGCACCATCCCCCTGCCCTTCCCCCGCCTTCCAGACCAGCCTGGCCCAGGTCCCAGTGGGCTGTGTGCTCCCTTCACAGATGAGAGAGAGACCCCCCTGAGGGTAGGTTTAGGCAAACGTGGCATCTGCCAGCTCCCTGGGCAGCTTGGGGTCCTTAAGGTCCCAACCCCTTCCCACCAAAGCACTTGGCCGGGAGCACACGCCACCCATCTCCTCGGTGACCGGAATCACCGGCCTGCACACCGCGCAGCTCTTTTGCTAACTCGCACATGGTGTGTTTACGTCCACCACCTCTTTTCTCCTAGAATTCACGTGAGGATGAGCGGAGAGACCACAGCCCTTGGTGCTAACCAGCCGGGGACGGGCGCCACCATCGGGGCCCACGCGGGCAGCGGCCAGAGCAGTGGCCCCCCCAAAGCTGCCTTGTCCTGCGGGTTTACCTTTGGGGCCGGGAGGTCCTGGAAAGCCAATCCCAGGCTGGCCGACTGAACCCTTCTCTCCAGAGAGACCCGGCCTTCCCGGGGTTCCAGGAAAACCTCGGTCACCTGCGGTGAGAAAGACCAATGGTCAGCGTGAGAAAAACGTTGAGCACACTTCCCCCACCCCAAGCCTCCAGGTGAACGAGACGCTGAGTACCTTGGGGCCCTTGGAAACCGGGGGACCCCGGAAGTCCTGTTGCTCCAGGGGGACCGGGTAAGGGTGTGACTTTTCCTTCTTCACCCTTGGGACCTGCGGAAAAGAGCAAAGGACACAGCGTGAGGGCTGCTGCGTCACGCTCTTGTCTGCACGCCTCCATCTCTCCCCTCTCCTTTTCTAGAATCTAGAATTCTTTAAGCGTCCAAAACAAGAGTCACGAAAAGCTAAAAACTCTCAGCAACAAACAGCGAGATGACCCTGGCATCAATTAATCTGTCTCAAAAAGTCAAAGCCATTTCACCGTTCTCAGTTTCTCAGACAGGATTGGTTCTAAGTTGCTCTGATGCCCACATCTGGTGGGAAGTTATCTTCACGACGTGCCCCGTGGGTGATATCGTTACCCTAACAGTGAGCTGGACGGTTCTGCGGTTTTCTCCAGCCCAGGAAAGCCACCTTTTCTATCTCCAAACTGGGAGGTGCAGGCGCAGCCCCGGGTGCCCGTGCCTATGAGATCCACTGGGTGTCAGGATTGAGCTGTTACGAAAGGACCTAAGGGCTCATCTCCACTGAACCTTCACGTACCTTAAAGAACTCAGGATCTGAAGGGCCTCCCAGGGACAGCCAACACTTGCTTTAGCTACAGACTGTGGGAAGCACCAGGACCTGACCCCAACACATCTTTGCTATCAGCTCCAGCCCTGGGAACAAGGCTTTTATGACCATCAGACTAAACACAGCTCTGGCAGATCAAAGAAGTCGGGTTTCTAATCCCAAAGCTGCCTGGGTCTGGATGGCCGAGGAACCCTCCAGGATGTGGACAGCTGACCGACAGCACTGTCAGCATTGCCTCTTTCGGGAACCCTCCTCCCATGCCGTCAAGACGTTATCTGTATGTGTCCCACTGGCTTTTCTGATGGTAGTTTCTGGCCGAGAAAAAGAAACCTGATTCCTTTTTACACGCTGCAAGTGTTCAGATTCCGGAAGCATGAAGGACACTTGAGATGGCGATTTGGGAGGAGTGTGGGCTCAGTGGTCAGAGGCCCCTTTCCGAGACCCGGGGTGTTTCTAAGTCAAACCCGGCATTTTCCTGCCCCGAAAGGAGTCGTAAGAGAGATGTTCCCAGGTTCCTTGCTAATCAAAGAACACTCATCAGTGGACTCCTCAGTGAATAACCAACGATCACCCAACGACAACAATAACCCATCCAGTAAGGCACTGTACTTGGGCCTCCGTCAAAGGCTGCTGATGTGTCCTGCATTACGAAGCTGACAAACCCTACACTGGGTCTTCATAAGGAAAGAACAGTTCCCAGTGGGGACAGGAGCTGACGGAACTTGGGCTCGATACATGGCTCGGGACAGAATCGGCCAATGTGTGAGAACAAGAAGGCCAGACTGTAATCGCTGCTGAGTCTCTCCTGTTGGAAACCTCGATCTTCCAGCTTCTTAGTTACTCTGGTCTCCAGGCTTACTGGCCACACACCTTTAATCGCCCCAAGTCACCTTTCATTCATTTCTACAACTCTTAAGCCGTCTTAGTCACAGCACACGTCCTTCTGTCCTCTGTGCCCAGGCCGTTCCTGGCCTCTTCCCCTCCAGGCTTCCTAGGCAATGATGTCAATGTTCCATTTCTTCCCGGAATCATCTTCAACTAATAAGTCACTGACAGTCTACGGTGTGCGGGGCCCGGGGACCCCCCCTTTCACTTCCGTCCCTGAAGATAAGCCCGTCATGAGGACGCAGTGGAGCGCATCCGTGGGAAACCCTCACACAGCCCCCTCCCACGTTCTCCACCAAAGCCCGGGCGGTGGGCTCCAGGAGGGCGGGCGGCCTCTGAGTTGCTTCCTCTCTGGTCACTTAGCTCGGCGCGTGGCACACAGAACCACGTGGCAAAACAGTCAACAAACGGCTGGAACTACCCCGAAATTCAACAGCCAAGTCAAAGCAGCTGTGTATCAGTCAGTGTGTGCACATCAGCGGAGGGGGGTGAAGGGGAATTATGTGGCTTGGGATACACAGAAGCCAAAAGGGACCGCTCATCGGGGAGAAGCAGAAAACGGGCTCAGGCTGGTGTCACTTCCACACAGAAGGCTGACCTTTTCTGCTGCATATGGCGTACTTATTTATAAGGAAATCACCTAGACCTTCAAGTTCCTGCTATCTAGATCCTACACGCCACTGGCCCATCTCATAAAGGAAGGAACGAGATACAGAAACGCTAAGGAAAGGTTGCTCAGGTCACATCCCCCTCTCCTGGCAGAACTGAAACCAGACCCACGTCCCCATGTCACTGAGCCCAGGGCTCCCGGCACTTGCGTGCGGCACTTGAGGTCCTCAGGCCTCACCTGGCAGGCCTGGGGACCCGGGGTTTCCCGGAAAGCCCATCTGTCCTTTGTCACCAATGGGGCCAATAGGGCCAAACCCTGGAGGCCCAGGAGGGCCGACGTCACCACGGCTGCCGGGGAATCCAACTCCTCCCGGGGGGCCACGTTCTCCTTTTAATCCTACTGAACCCTGAAGCGAAAAGGGAAAAAGACGAGTTATCAGCAGACATACCAGCACTCCGATCCGCGTTGCATTTTTCCACCACCCGTGGTAAAAATGTGCCAGAGTTTAACTAGCCGTGCTACTTATTAACTTCAACCCGTCTGCAAAGGTCACCTTGTAGTTAATAAATGAAACCGGCATTCTCTCCTCTAAGCTGAGCAATCGCCCTCCCAACCCAGACATAAGGAGACACTCCAAAGAGGAAGGCACTTATATCTGGAATCTTCTTTGAAAGGGTGACTTGAACGCCGCTAACTTTAAAATTCACCTCCCGGCCGACATATGGAGGTCTTTTCAGTTCCCCCAGATGCATCAGAAGACACTGACCCCTTATCACCTAATCGTGCAAGTCAGGGCTGTCGCACCTAGGTTTACAGACTACAGTCTTCCAGTGAACGTGAGACAAGTTCGTTTACGACAAGGACCCCCCCGAGTGAAAACAGGTCGACGTGAGACCAATTACTCCTCCTTCCATTCTTTGCGTATCCATTATCTGTCAAGCGCACGTTCAAAGTATGGGAATCAACATACCGGGGAGCCTTTGGGGCCGGGCAGACCCGGATGGCCGTCTCTTCCGGGAGAGCCTGCTCTGCCTGGCATCCCGGGCTGGCCTGGGAAACCTGGGTCTCCTTTGTCGCCCTTGAGTCGAATATCGAAGTAAATCTCGCCAGGCTCGCCCTTGGCTCCTGGCTGGCCCATCAGCCCTGGCACACCTTGTGGTCCCTGCGAGAACAAAGCCTTATGAGGCCGCCACCGAAGACGCCCATCCATAGAGCAAACCAGCAGCAGGGAAATCAGGACGCCACCTTGAAAAGTGGGGACGGGTTTAGAGCTCCCCGTTCGCTGTGTAGGAGCAAGAAAGGCCAGCAGCTCTGTGACAGAGCCCTGAGCTGACCTCACTGCTGTGCTGTCCTTAAAAAGCCTCTAGTAATGGAGACGGCGACAGGGCGGGGGAGTGGCGGAGAAGCTCTGGGCCCAGCCCGGACATCAGTCCTTAGGTAACTTTCTTGTCTCTTAAAACTGCTGACATTCCCAAGAACAGGTCGGCTACGGCTGGGAGGGGCTGGATGTGCGATTCCCTGGGCCCAGGAACCAGAGATGGAGGCTGAGAACAGCCACGTTCCCTAAGTCTGGTCAGTGCTGAAATCACACAGCTTGCCTTTCACGCTCACAGCCCTAATTCCAGAAGAGATAAGGAGGCCCAGAGCACCCGCAAAGAGGAAAGTCGGGGAAGGGAGCATCAGGCCAGCTCTGTAACTGGGATTTTGAGCCGTCAGCAGAATAGAATTAACTTTCCCAAGAGACACACGGGAACACTTCTCAGTTCCTGGAAAGGGGAATCTTCAAGGAATGCCCACCCCCTAGATGGCTCCCCCTCCAGGTCCCCTTGAGAGTAGGATTCACCAGGAAGAGGCCCAAGGCTTTAAACAACTGTCTCAGTTACCTGTTCTCTGAGAGAGGGATCTCTTCAACCTCCCCGCTCACCTGGCAGAATTTAAACCCTTGCGGAATTCATGTGGTCTGAATTCCTTTTTGTAAACTCCCTTTGAAACGGTTCTTGGATGTAGGTGAAACACAGTGTGTGCACGCACACACACGCACACACACACACACACACACACACACACACACCTCTGTGTGTACCTATAATATGTACACCTCAAAGTACTGGACACAGCTGGTCGGAGCTGGCCCTGAGCTGGAAGTGCCCCTTGTGACAGAGGACCCTTCACTCAGATCTACTTGGGGAAGGAAGGGGGAAGATACCCAATCTATCGTATTTACTCTAGTCCCACTATCTCCACCAGCCACCCGCCAGGAAGTCTAGCAGTGGACATGGAAAATTCATTATCTAGTTGAAAGCTGCTGTGGTATTTTGTAGCTTTTTCTCTCTAGTTAACATTAGCTCCCGTGCCTCCCTGAGGCCCAGCGAATCTTGGAAGCCCTTCCGGATAGGCCCAGGTGGGCTTCTCCCGTGTTTCCTCGGTGTACTGTATGGTCCTCATTGCTCTATTAGGGACATTTCCTTGCCTTCTGTCTCTCCACTAGCCTTTCGGAGCTGTGAGGGCAGGACCAAGGCTTCCTGTCTTTGTGCCCTTAATGTCTACAAGAGGGAGGTGCCGGAGGACGTGTATGTTGAACCTGCAATGTTCACCAATAAAAAGTAAATGCCAAGGTAAGAAATTACAACCAGTGCATATTTTTCTCAAACCAGAAGCACCCCTTATGTTATTTTATGTTGATTATTTACAGCTTAGAAGTATAGTATTTTCTGACACTATGAGCACAGGGTGAGAAAAATATAAGTTTTTATTTTTATACTGATGACCGTGTCAGTCATCGTTCTATTTAAGGGAGAAATCTAGGATTTCTTTGAAAATTGACTTTACAACCCTAGGACATCTCATGTGGATTCTTTGCTAATCCTAAGTGATTCAAGGGTCTTTTGATGCACATGCCCTAGGATGAATGTCAAAGAATCAGACGCTGCCTTGGAAGTTTAGCATATTGGCTACAAAAATTGAAGAAGATCCGACAACCTGTGCAGAGTCTGCTTCTAGAAGGTGGTGCCACCACGGGAAAAGCTGGGAGAAGTTCGTTTCAATTAACACAGGTCACTCCCAGCGACCCCAGACCTGCCTGGGGGCTGGTCTTCGTCATCTCAGCCTGGAACCTGCCTCTTGTGGTCTGTCCTCCTTTCCCCAAATCAAACCCTCAGCTTTCAGAGGACATGTCCCAGAAACACTACCTAAATCAAATGCAGCATCAGAGCTTTCTTCATTGGAATCTGCTTTCTTCACTGGAATCTACTTTCCAGTTTGCTCCGCTGGTTTGTGGAGCCTCCTTTAGCCTCCAGCCAAATTCGAAATAAGGGTACCACATTTTTGAGCTAGTTAAACCATGGAGCTATGATATAGCATCTAATAAAAGGAAAATTATTATCTCCTCTTAGGTTATTTACCCACAGAACAATTTTTAGAAGTGTTCTCCCTCTACACCAAGAAAGATGCTCCCTGGATGGACAAGGCATGGGGATTCGCATTTTTTGTTGTACACTTTCTTTGTTGTTTTCTTTATCATGACTTCTCCTCAACCATCCTCCTTTCCTCTTTTCTCATTTATATTGGATTTGGGGCTTGGGGGGGGGGGGTGTCTGGACTGGGTTCCAGGCAGAGTTGAGGCAGGAAGTATTCCAGGAAGGGTGAGTAGATAAAGACCGTGCCCAGACTCTGTCTGTTGCCTTCAAAGTTGTTCCCACTTTGATCCCCACCACAGTCAGAGTTCCCAGCTTTGTGAACTTCCAACTTATTTAGAAATATGTTAAACAATTGCGACTTCTAACTTAGTTCCCCAGGCACCGGGGAAGTTCTGGAAAGCAGAAGCCCAAGACTTAACTTCAAAAGGAGAAAACTATTGCTGGATTCCAGCTGTTTCATTCCTATTTCAACTCACTTTTGCCCTGACCTGCTTTTACAGAACCTTCCAGAAATATCTTCTTAAATTACAAATGTTAAAGACCTACAAACAAAAAAGAATAATGCTACAGACTTGACTTTCCATTTACGACAAAAGAAAAGGAAAAAGGAAAAAAGCAATGAAAGAAATTGTAGAAACTGGTTAATGCTTAACAGAACTGAGAAGCACAAAGAAAATAGGAGAACAAAGCCCAAAGGCTTAAAAGCTTTAGAAATAGAGCTGATGACATGCACAAAAAAATAACGTCCTTCAATATTTAAGATTATTACTATAATCTGCTATTCAACGGCTTCTTTCAAAACAACGTAGAAAGGTTAAGAAAATGGTGTCTGTCTAACAGAAAGGTTTCATGTCCTTGTGATCGAGATATTTCATCTATAGATTTGAAAAAGTGCCTTTGCAATAGATGTTGGTGATAGGAGTTTTCAAATTCTGTACCTGTAAGAAGAAAGGAATAGCTCAAGTTCGTAGAGGAAAATCGGCCAGTTCTGCTTCGCTGCCATAGACACCATCAGCGCTGAGCTTACTCACTGACAAGCTTTAGCTCATCTGGTGTGAGAATGGATGACTGTGTAAAAAGACAACTCAACAGTGTGGCTGCTAGAGGTGACTCTTGGTGGCACCAGAGACCCTGCGGGAAAGTGACCGCCAGCACTCTCGTGCCTGGAAACAGGTAAGTGGCGACCGAATTCTGACCAGGTGAGAAGAAAGGCAAGTTGGGGTGCAGGTTCTGGATGCATCCTCAGGTCAATCAGTCAGGAGAGACACGGGGAGTAATTCTAACTGCTCGACAAAGTGATCCTTTACCAGCTCCCAAATAAAGCAGGAGTCCACGTGCAAATGCAAAGATACATGCCTTTGCTGGTTTGCTCGTTGGCAACTTGTAATATGTCTAGGAACTCAGACAGGTTTACTTACAGGCAATCCTTCAAGACCATCCCTGCCGGGTAAACCTCTGTCGCCCTTGGCCCCTGGCTGTCCTGGGAAACCTTTCACAAGAGACAGAGGAAAGATTCAGCACATTGTTGATGAGACACTTTCTAAGAGCTCAAAACATTTTTACCTTTTCAAGATTCAAAAGTGCAAAGATCTTTATACTAAGTGGATGACGTTTGAAGCATCTCGAGACAGTAATAACAAAAATGCCCAGGATGGGCTCAGAAGGGGGACGAGTGACCCCCAAATGCACACAAGTAACACTGACGCAGAATGGCTACAAACCCCTGCCCGCAAGCCCAGGGGCCACTTAAACCAAAGCAGGCAGGTAACCCCCTCTGAGATAAGGAAATTTGCAGAGCTGTGTGAACCATATGCTGCTATCCTTTGACTAGGAAATCTTTCTGACACTGAATTTGTAAGTCATCTTGATAATTTTCAACAAAATGGACAAATCCTAGAAGTGTGGCTTCACATTCTCATCTCGTGTTTTAGTGTTGATGGAGAAAATCAGGTCAGGGAGTAAGATATGCTTCACTGTGAAGGTTCCAACCCATCGAAGCAAATTCTGACCTGGTCCCTTTCACATTTGGGGCCTTACCTATTTCTCCAGGGGGTCCCTGTGGCCCTGGGGGCCCACGAAGTCCTGTTGAGTCACAGATGAGACAACTATCTCCTTTTTGACCTAAAAAAGGAGACACGGGGTATTATATAGAACAGGTGAGCAAAATCCCCTGGAGCATAGTGACAGCACAGGAAAGGGAAGAGGAGGCCACCATTTACCTAACACCCGCTCCAGACGCGTCCATCTGCCAGTGGCCGCATGTCCCTGACACGGGGCCCACCCTCCGCCCTCAGCGTACATCACAGGTAACCACGGGTGCCCTTCTAAGGAATCCCATCCTTCTGCCCTGCCAAGGCACAGGCCCTGCCTCACTAAAAAGTGATCCAGAACTCCATTTGCCCATCAGCCTGAGATGACTCGACTCTACCATTTTGTCTCTAATTCTAAAACTTCCCATCATCTTTCTCTTTCATTTTGTATTTTTCAGCCAACTGCACATATAACTCCTGGACTTTAAACCTATGCTCCAGGCTGACAAATGACAGATGGGAGTAAGAAGGTACAAAATCCAGGGCAAAGACCTGACCTGACATGGAGGACCCAAGAGGAGAGGGACCCTGGCACATGAAAATGGGAGGAAATGCCTTTCTTTGGAAACTCTAACCTCTGACATCTTGATTTTCAAACTAAGCTAAAAGGCCTTCGAGTGTCTCAGATGTGCGTGTGTCCTGAACCTTGAATGTCAGGTTTCTAGGCACAGATAAGGCAAACAGAGAGCAGAGCACACGTGGAGAAGCTGTCACTCAGGGGTCACAGAGGCTGGGTTGTGTGCCCCTTGTCCCCTCACCCTGATCGGCACCCCAGCCCCAGGCACACCCCATACCAGGCCCCAGTGTCAGAAACAAGAGCAGAGCAGGAGCGCATCAGTGGGAGGGATGCACTGTTAGTTGCCTAGTAACCCAGCCAAGCTGCAGGTGCTACGGGATCGGTGGGTGTCTGCTCCTGAGGCTGGAAGTGGATGGCGGGGAGACCTCACACTGCAGTCTGGGCAGACTGATGGCTCCACTGCAGGAGCGTGACGGTACAGGAAGAAAGAGGCTCCTCTTAGGAGCCGGGGGATGGATGAGCACACCTCTCAGTACAAAGAACCTTCTGACCGTTGGCTCCATCACAAAATGGAACAGCCTACTTCAGAAAGTGCTAAGCAACTGGTAACTAGGGAGATTCATGAAAAACAAGTGACACGCCAACTGGTGGCACAATCCTTCCCGCTTGAATTCTAAGATCACTTTCATCTAAGGTTCTGCAACTTACATGGCTGTCAAAATTCTAAGACATTTTCCATGCATTTGAGCTTCAGACTTTTGAAGAGCAAAAATTCTTTGCGATCCAAAGCCAGAAATGGGACCCACAGGGATCAGTTTTGGGGGGCCGCTCTCTCTTTGTTCTAGTCCCTGGGTATTAAGAGACATATACTGAATAAATATTGGAACATCCTTTGTTTACCCCACTCTAAGACGGGACTGTTTGTGCAGTGATAATCCATCGTGCAGTGATAATCCATCGTTCCCAAGTGAAGGATTATGATGCGTCCCGCGTTGGCATTACAGACGACACTTGAAAAGTTTAAGATAAAACTCAGAGCCAAGGGTGGAGGTGGCGGATTCATCGGCGCAGATCTGCTCACACTGATTACGGAAACTGGGATTGAGGGGTGGTGAGTGTTCTGTGTGCACACTCGTGATCCGGCTTCAAGGAAAGACGTGCATTCTTGGAGAATGCAGTCTCTGACTTTGAACCAAAGGATCGCAGGAAGGTATCAATCTGAGAATTTAATCTGCTGACCCCACAGAGGGTAAAGAACAGGGACTCTGACTTGAGAGCCCGTCTCCCCGTTGTCTCCCAGGTGACAACTGTCTCTTCAACGCCCAACAATCTCAGCAGGGCTCTCGGGAGACACGTCTGAGGCATATGGATCTTGAGAGCTTCAAAATAATGGAAGAAGGTACCCATGTCCACTCAAAGCCGCTAAGTGTGTAGAAATGTATCACATGCCCAAGCACAATCAGCATTTTAAAAAAAAATTCAATCTCTTACCTTTTTCTCCAACTTCGCCTGTCAACCCCGGCTGCCCCGCACTTCCGGGAGGACCCTGGTCACCTGGCGGCCCGGGCTGGCATTCCACAATTCCATCTGCAATGGATGTTTAACAGTTAGAGGGTCACTCCCACCAGACTGAAGCTATAGGTGTTTTCACCCTCTCTTGCTTCAATCTATTACAGAACCAAACTTTATTTAGGTTATTTGGCAAGTATTAGAAATCCAGCTGTGGCCGGCTTTGTAAAACTTGTAAAACATGACCAGCGCACACAGCATCCATCCATGCCCCGTCACAAGCCGTCAATGCTCAAGTTTCTATTTTACAATTCTAACGCTTCTTTCAGCTCATCAGCCCTGTCCTGAAACTGATTTCACGTTATCTTGCAAGGTACACACCATCACCCTTACATCACAGATTAAGAAACTGAGGCTCAAAAACTTAAATGATTTGTCCACAGAGGTAGGAACCTCTGTAAAGTCAACACAGAGACTTCAGCAACTTTATGCCTTTTTTTCCTCCTGAGCAAACTTACAGCAAAGTACTCATTATTTTAGAGACACAGACTGCCTGTGGGAAAACACCTCTAACTGTTTGTTCCTATTCAATTCTAAGCATCACTGATGTGAAGCAGGAAAATGGACTGCAGTGACGCAAACACCATCCGTTGTGGGTTCTAGTAAAAAAAAAAAGTATTGTTTTCGAATATACACAGTGATAAGAGTTTATATTTCCTTCTCCAATATGTTTGAAGGAAAATGGCAGAGTGCATGCTTGAACGTGAGGCTCTGCGGCCACCGGTCACAACCGTAGGCCGGACATTCACGGCGGCAGCTCCTGCAGCCCCCAGCGCACACATCAGCTCCACAGGGATGGACGGAGGGTGAGAAGAGAATCCCCAGCCTTTTGGGCTTTTCACGAGGCTCTGCGGGCACCGGTCACAACCGTAGGCCGGACATTCACGGCGGCAGCTCCTGCAGCACCCAGCTCACACATCAGCTCCACAGGGATGGACGGAGGGTGAGAAGAGAATCCCCAGCCTTTTGGGCTTTTCACAAGGGATGCTGGGGCAATGGTGCTCTCCCCAAACACAAAGGCCTAAAAGAGAACCCAAACTTCTCCGTTTGATGACTTTGTTTAGAGCTCAGAGGAAAGAGTTTCAAGTGTGTAAGAAATGAAGTCCAGGGGTTTTTTGTTTGCTAGTTGATGATGTTTTCCTGAGAGCTTCTCTGAATAAAGCACAGGTAAGGAGGAACCCTGGGGTGGCCGTATCTCTGCCCTGGGTCCTCTGGCTCCGGCCGGCTCCTTGGTGATCCCATCGGTCTTGAACAGAGTGGAGTCGTTTTTATGCTTCAAAAAGCTTCTCTAAATTCCTTGCCTGGGAAGAACTCATTCCCAGCCCTGCAAGCCGAGGTGGTTGGACTCCCCGATTCTGGAAACACAGGTGCGTGAACACTGACAGGTGTAAAATTATTACTTTCCCAGAACACACCTCCTGCTAGCCTCCTCTCCATCAGAATCCCTACACACCCCTGGTAGGAAGGCAAGTTACCATCCTCATCAAAATGAATTTTAAATAATTTTAAGTCTAAAGCAAGAATACAGGGATGTGTCTGAGGAGTTCTGAAGGGCAAGTTCAGGTTCGACATTTACACGGTCTGCTCAGGGAGGCTCGGCCGTCAAGGGCGGGGAGAGCTGCAGCCACACGGGACCAGAGCCCAGGAGCGGATAGGGCTGTAGGCGGCTCCACGTTCCCTGGGTAATGAGCAATCGAAGGGTCCCAAGGTGGCAATTCGTTAAGATGCAGCCTCTTTAACGTGCACTGTAAATGTGTGTAAAAATCTCATTGATAAATGATCACTCAGCACGCTGTGATTGTGAATCACCTAATTGGCACAGACTGGAAAGGGCAACCCGGAAACCTGGAGGGTACCTATCACAACGTATTCAGCCGACACATCTTACACAATTCACAGCAGGGAGAAGTTCAAGTCTTTCCATGAGATTTGTTCGCATTTCAGAACTGGCAAACTGCGAATATGAAAAGAAGGTTCTAGATCTCCCCAGGGTTGGCTCTCTCGCCAGGGTCTCTGCCGATCACTCTTATTAAAGCTAGAACCCACGCACGGCCCAGACCTCTGTCTTCCCTTCCCGGCTTCCTTTCCTCCTGTATTTGTCACCTCCTGCTACCACATAATCTACTGATACTTATTTACTTGATTTCTGTCTCAGAATGCATGCCCCAGGAGGACAGAGTTGTTCTGTGGGCTTTGTCACAGGTCTTAGGGCAGCGCCTGGTGTATCATAGGCATGCCAACGTTTGTTGAATGAGTAAGTGACCAAGGAATGAACAACAGGTCTGAGGAAATTCACGCTGATCTGTTCCCAGTGAAGATTCACATCTGGAATCACTTGTTCCATCCAGTCCGTATCTGGCCTCCCTACGTAGCTTCATCCGTGAGAAGTCCTTTCATGGAGATGGGTCTGCATTCCAGCAAATAAGCCACCCGGCACCTACAGCATGGAGACCCCCTTCCCATAACCCACACAGGACCCGTGCCTCAGACTCTTGGCTGAGCACACGCAGGAGGTCTGAACTTATGCCCACTGGAACGATTAGTTTAAATCCCCTCAAAGTTTCTTTTATTTTGCATTGCGATTACTTTGGAGTCACAGAGCCCCCTTCACTGAATCAAGAGGTTCCTGTCCTGTGCTCAGCTTTGATAGTGGGCAGACGAGAAAAATCCAGGTAAACTACCATTCAGATTTGAAGTCACTTACAGACAAAGCAGTCCCTTCTCCGTGTGTGTGTGTGTGTGTGTGTGTGTGTGTGTGTGTGTGTGTGTGTGTGTCTTAGTACCAGCTTGCGTCTCTAGATGAACAGAATGCGTTCCTTTTCCAGTAAGAACCCTACAACTCAACTGGTTTGCTTTCTAACTTTAGATGCTGGTTAGGATGGCCCCTATTCCTCTAAACTAGTTTCATTAGTTTATGTTCACTCTTCCTTTCTGCAGTGACTAACTTTGCAAAGACAACTAAGTGAGATACGAACAATTCATAAGTCGCTGGATACCCAGCCTCTGGCACTACACCTTCCCCAGCCCAGCTTAGCCCTGCCCCCCATCTGTCCCGGACAGGACACCACGAGAAATGGACCCAGAGGGTACTCACTTGTGTGGCCTGGCTGCCCAGGGGGGCCGGGGGGCCCAGGGGGGCCCCGTAGCCCATCCCTTCCACCTGGTCCGGGCAAGGACACGCCTGGCAAGCCCTGGTCGCCTTTCTCTCCTCTTTCACCAGGGAAGCCGGGGGGACCACTCAGCCCTGGTATTGGGAAGCCTGAAACCAGAACAGAACTCATGGACACAGCACAACACCAAGTGTCATGCCGACAGCACACACTGGTTACGGTCACTCTGTTCACGGGAAAATGACCATGGCTGAAAGGGGAACTGCTCTGGACAAGTGAGAAACTGCATTAGCTTCTCACCACGTAAATGCTGTTGGGCAAAGGCTCCCTACAAAGTAACTGCAAGGGAAAGGGGCTCATTGTGTAGACATTAACATCTGTGGATCTCCTTCAGTGCAAATAGTGTCCCCAGGAGGTTAGAGAGAGTACTTTCCATTTCTGCTTAGAGAATAAAGAAAGGCGTAAGAAATGTCCTTAAACAAAGCAGACGTGGGCAGGAGGCAAAGTGGGTGGGAAGCGTCTTGGAATCAGCTAAAAAGCAGAGTCAGGACAAGGAAGACAGCCCTGGG